TACTAATAATACATTATGTAAAATAGCAAAATGGAGGGTAATATTTTTAATAGTGGAATGATTAATTTATGGCAAATGTATTATGTAAATGTATGTATTTGTATATATACATATATGTGAATATATATATACACATACATCTATCTACACACCTATGCAGATACAAAAAAAAATCTGTATTTATAAAGGATTCTATGATATATTAGTAAATGGAAAAACACAAACTAGATCTCATGATCTCATTAAAAAAAAACTTTTATATTAATGATACCAAAAAAGAAAAAAAGAAAAAAGAATCCTCAAATTCAAATCCTAGCTCTCATACTTACAATCTGTCAATATAACTGGAGCCTCAGCTTCTTAGTGAAACAAAGATAATGACAGCAATAGTATCATAACTGTTGTAATGATGGAATGAGGTAATAGCTAAAATATCCTTAGCTTGATGGCTGTTAAGTTGCAGAAACTCGGGAATGTTATTATTATTCATATTAAGCCAACTACTCCATTCTGTCAACCTCTTAAAACTTACTGAGAGTACAAAATAAATAAATAAATAAATAAATAATAATAAAAATCTTTGTGTTTACATATATATATAATAATGTGGTAAATAAACTGAGCACTATATTAAACAGTTCTTTTGTTTTGCTCATATAGTTCTCACAGCTCAACTGAACACATACACAAACACACACATATTTATAATTTTACCAGAGAAGGATAAATACCTTCTAATTATGTCTGGAAAATGGTATTATTGTCAGAGTGGGGAGGTAGATGAGAAGGGTGTGTAAGAGAGGACTTTCCCTTTTTACCATATATTGTTCTATGCCACTTTAATTTTTATGTTTGCTTATACCATTTTTGAACTTATAAGAAAACAAAACAAAACAAAGATTCTTTTGGAGATTTTAATATATATATATGAGATTAAATATAGGAAAGAACTTTAGAATGTAAAAGCTGAAATATTTTCATCTTTAAAAACCACATCTTTAGATTATGAGCATGTTGTCAGTTTTAAAAATAGAACAGTAAGATTATACTCATCAGCAGTCTGTTACACACATTACTTTATCTAGTGAAATGATGTCAGAAGGCAAGCATGGGTGTGTGACATTCACATTACAGGATCACATCACTAGCACCCTTTCTTCATACCTTAAAAGGAGATTTAATTCAGGAGATGAAGTTCACCCTACACATTTTAGCCCCACTGATCTACTAAATTAACTTAATCCTAACAAGCTTATACTTAATAAAATAAATGCTAGTACAATAAAAACACATATTTAAATGTAAAATCTTCTCAATGTAATATAATACCTTTTATTAAATACTGTTATTTCCCAGGGTTTGGGATAGAAAGGGGTATAAGTAGAAAAAAATTATATTATATATTCCTTGAGTCCAAAAAACTCAATTTAATAAGATAATAATCCACAACAAAGAACAGATAAAATTTAGTAGAGATGTATATAACCTGTTATGAGAACACAGAGAAGGGGACCAACTAACTCCTAACTAACTAACTAGTCTCCTGGCATCACAGTTTTTTAACTTATTTTCTTATTCTACAGAACTGTTTTCAGACATTCTGAGAAATTCTATCTTTTACTCTATAAGGATATGAACTTACAGATTTCACAGGAATACCAGCTCTGTAAATATTAATGTGCTTTCTAAAAAAACAGAATTCAAAGACACATTATATTATGATTAAATTCAGTAAGCATTGGTTTTGTGCTAAGTATTTGGAGAAATTTTATAATAAAGTCCACAGACATTTATTTACAGCAGTGATTCTTAACTATGGGCAAGTCAGGAAATATTTGGCAATGTCTGGAGACATTTTTTGCTTGTCCAAACTGGTGGAGGTGTGTTACCAGCATCTAGCAGTTGCCAGGGATGCTGTTTAACACCCCACACTGAACAACACAGCTTCCTAAAACATGTAGTTATCCAACCTAGTAAGTCAATTAGGCTGAAGTTGAAAAATCCTGCTATAGTCTACCAGTCTGCAACTCAAACTGTTAAGCCAACTCACCCTGTCAGCGAAAAAACTAGAAAAGTGGCAAAAAATACAAAAGAAAACGAAAAACAAATCCCATGTACCTGTTATAGAGTACATATTAAGTGCCAAGCACTAGACTGGGACCTTGTCTCTCAAAGCAGCATGATTACTTATGAGTAAAGAATGCCCAAGATTGCCCTGCTAGTTAGAGCCAGAACTGGGTTGTAAGTACCCATCTGTTTGGTCTAAAGTTCACTCTTTTCCCATTGTGCCACCAGGCAATCAAAAGAGATTTTATCAAGTCAAATGTGCACGTAGTTTATTAATGGGTCATCTCCTCAGATGCTGACTCCCTCATACTGTAGAAGAATTCTAGTAGGTTTGGTCATTTGATTTTTAGAACCATAAACAACTTAAAACAGCAAATAAAAGGGTGCTATAAGCAGGAACCAGGGCTAGAGGGAAATGAAAAATTATAAAGAAAGGACATGACAAAACAAAAACAAGAATACAAAAACCCAAAAGCCTAGGGACTTCCTTACAGAGATAAATAATTTTATACAGTGGTACAATGGGGGAAGGGAAGGAGAGAGGGATAGGAGCAGAGGGAGGAATGAGAAAGTGAGAGAAGGGGAAGGAAATAGGGAAAGGTGAAGAGGGATGAGATAAAGGTGAGAAAAGGGACACTACAGAAAGGGAAGGAAGAGAGTGGAGGGAAGGAGAAAGGGGAGAAGAGTCGAGGAGAGCAAAAGTCAAGGAGCGACCAAATAGAGGGAACAAGTTAGTGAATTACTGTGGGAAAATTTCAGAACGAAGTAAGGAAACGGAGGAAGGAAAAAGGCAGAGAGAACAGCTGACCCTCAAGATAGGCTGGGATTTTGATAGAAATAAATGGAAAACAGAGAAGGGAAAAGGAGGGGTGTACAACAGATTCCTAGACACAAATGTGTAAAACACTCCTACTCCAAGAAGTTCTACGTGTACACTGTCTGTTGTGGCTGGTGGCTACTAGCCACAGGTCACTATGAGCACTGGAAAAGTGTCTTGTTTGAACTGAGATGTGCAGTAAGTATAATATACACACTTGAATGCAAAGACATATTTCATTAATATTTATATTAACTATATTGGGTGATACCTTGGCTAAATATCAATAAGGAAATGGAGGAGGGGAAAAGGCAGAGAGAACTGTCAATAATACTATATTGAAAATATATTGTTAAAAAGAATTTCACATTTCCCCTTTTACAGTGTGGCTGCTAGAAAATTTTAAATTACACATGTGGCTAATACTGTATTTCTATTGGACAATGCTGCTCTCGATTTTTAAGACTGCTTTAGGACCACAGTGGTGCCAGAAGGAAATAACAGAAATCACTGCAGTCTTGCATCCATCCCCAACTCCTGGAATCTTAGTTGGCCAAAGATGTGTAACTGCACATAGGTGTCAATCTGATTATGACAGGAACTATGAGTTCAAATAGGATATAAACCTCTATTAAATTGTTTTTAACAGTTCAATCTAGGCAGGTGATAAGACTTAATAGAGGTGAGTGAAAAATGGTGAGATAAAAATAGAAAATTTAATAAAAGGGAGTGAAAGCAAGAGATGCAATTTAAAACCCTGGAACAACTTTTGGTCTTAAAAACTTCATATTATCTGACTAGCACACTGAAGAAAAATATTTGAAGATTTTCATTCCATTCATAAAAATGAAAGTATACCTAGGGATATTTTTGAAAACACCTTCTCAAGCACCTATTCAATGTTATTTTTAAAATGCCACTTTCTCATCCCTCATATAAAATAATTTTCCCATCCATTATATAAAATGCCAAAATATTTTAAAACTTCACTAAGGAAAACTACGTATATAATTGCTTCTCTAACTACAGGAAAAAAAAACACTAAGCTATTTTATATTATTGTACACCACCACAATGAAAAAACAGTTTTGTTTCATAATGACTATATTCTCATACCCTTTCATTTCTAGAAAATCAAATCGAATCCAACCCACAGTCTAATACTAGAGTAAAGAATTAAACATTTTGGAAGGATTAAAACAATGCTGCTCAAACTTTAATGTGCACACAAATTCACCTGAGAGTTTTATTAAAATGCAGATTCTGATTCATTATGTCTGGTGTGTGGCCAAAACAGTACATTTTAAATAAGTTCCCAGGTGACACCCATGCCACTGGTCTGTGGATCACACTTTGAGTAAGAAGGGGTTAAAACAATCATTCCTACATTTAAAATATAGCAGGACAATTTTTATTTCATAAACTAAAAAGGGGGAAAAAAATTTGTCCCCACAAGGGGCCATTGTGTTTTCTATTTACAGCATTACCTCAAATAATTGGCATTTTGATGTTTCCAAGATTGGCTATCCAGCATTACTAGGCTTAAAAACATATCAATCCAGCTATTAAATTTGGGAATTGCTGACCACTAATAGAGATCAAGTCAAAGTTTATTTGGGACAAGGGTCCCTATTTTTATCTTTGGCTCTAATTGAGATCAAGATAATGGAAACAAGAGTATTAGGGAAAAGAGAGAGGAAGTTCTAGTATTTCTTTTGGAATTAGGGTTATTCTTTTGAAATGCAACACACATATGTACTTTTCTATTTACATTTTTATATCATTACATAAAAATGAGTATAAAAATGTTAAAACAGCTACATCACTATGTAATAGTATACACTGGCTTATAAATTTCTCAGTCATTTTTTAAATTCTTTTCTGAAACTACCAAATTTTCTACAACAAACAAATACTTTTATTATTCAAATACTTAAAATTTAAAAACACATAACAAAATCCCTAACAGCAGCAGAAGCACTAATATTGAGTGAATATTCAAGAATTTGTTAATGGTAATTAAGAAGTGTCTAATGAGTATAATAAAAAACAAAGAATTTTAGAAGATAGATAAAAAACTTCAATTTTTACTTAAATAGAGATTCAAGTTACTTACCTTAGTAAAGTTATTCAGATGGCCTAGCTTTCTCATATTTGATACACCTTGCAATTTGGCCACATTTTGTAGAATCTCCCTTAAGTTATCAGAAGGTTCTAGGAGAAAAGACAATTTAACATAATTATAAAAGAGTATTTTTCTTAACCAAATACATGCAGTATTAAAACTTCCAACTCTAGCTTTTGGTTTAAAGTCTTACTCTCTATCTCAAATACATCCTATTAGGGGACTTCAAAGTCTATGATGATGACTCATTAAATGACCTTTACATCTCTATCCATGCCTATAGTCCAATTCTGTGTTATTATCAACTGGAATTATTCAACCCCACTAACTTAATTTCAACATCCCAACTTTCACTTTTGGCTATAATGTAGCAACAGACACCAAAATATTTTCTATTTGAATCAACCAAAAAACTGGACAAATATTTTAAACTATAATTTTCAAGACAATGGACATCAGGAAGTAAAGAACAATGATCTCTGAGAGATGAGAAACAAACAAGTGTGCCCTACAACTGCTCCAGCTTAATGTCTTAAGAGTTTCTAGGCCTTGGTGCTGAGAGGAGAAATCTCTTAAGAGACAGAGAACAAGGAGACTAAGAAGTATTAGAGAAGAGGGAAGTGCACAGAGAACTTCAGAGATCTGCAAAGGGACCCTGCAGGTAATCAATAACATAGCAATAACTGGTGTATGTGTGTAAGGAAATTACTCAAAAACATAAAGGGAAAAGTACCCTACATTCACACAGGATAGGGGGCAGTGTTTGTTCCTAAGGGCCAGACTGAAAAGCTTTAACAGTAAAGGGAACATTTGTTAAAGAGTACTGTTTCATCAGTAGTAGGGAACAATCAGTCATAGACTAAGCACTTCTTTGATCCCACCTAACAAATCTTCAAATTAAGACTTAATTGAACTGCTTCTTAGTAACTAAACTGTCACAGACCAAAGCTCAAGAAGATTTAAAAGAATATAAAATATATGAAGTATCTAATGGGGCAAAATTTACAATGATTAGCATCCAGTCGAAAATTATCAGATATGCAAAGAAGTAACATGACCCACAAAGGAGCAAAAAAATTAGTCAACTGAAAATGATCTAGAATGGACAAAGATGTTAGAATTAGCACAAAAAGACATTAAGACATTTTCAGAACTGTAGTCTCTTATGTTTAAAAACATAGGGGCATGAAAGTGTGAAAAACCCTCAAACTTAATTTCTGGAGACAAGAACTACCATGTCTCAGATGCAAATATGCTGGATGGGAATAGCTCCATAACTTTTATAGAAGGAAAAAATTGTGAACTTGAAGACAAAGCAATAGAAACTATCAAAAATGTAATACAGAAGAAAAAATAAATAAATGGAAAGAGCATAAGTGAGCTATGGGAATTCAAGCAGCTTAACTCAATTACAGTGTGTACTTGAACTGGAGTTCTTGAAGGAAAGAAATGAAAGAGAAAATGTGAAGAAATAACGGATGAAAACTTCCCAAATTTGATTAAGAGAGGAGCAAAGAACAGGATGACAGCAGATCTTGTGGGAAACAAGGCAATGACAAGACAATGGAGCAACATTCTAAAAATACTGAAAGAATAAAATGCTTTAAAAATGTAAAAACCATTCTTAGATAACTTGCTTTACAAAAACAGGCCACAGCCAGATATACCCACATACAACATCTGGAATAGTATGTCAATTTCCTCAGGTTGCTACAAGTTATTTTTCTATTAATTTATTCAGCATTCCATTTGTTTGAAACAAAACAAAAGCCCAATCTAAAGAGCAAAAAAAAAGTATATTGCTGATTTTTAGGCTTAAGAGCCATTATGACTTCGTTTATCTGGTAACACAAAACCATGTGCTTTGAATTACAGCTGAAACTTGAATAATATAGTGGTTAGGTGCAACTACTGTCCTCTTTCTCACTGGGCAGTCAAAAATCCAAGTATAATCTTTGCTCCCCCAAAGCTTAACTAGTAATAGCCTACTACTGATTTTATGGTAGTAAATGACAAAATAGACTAGTACCTATATACATTTTGTGCACTCGTGACATATCTTTCTCTTAATTTTTTCAGTATTTCTAGGCTATGCAGTTCATCTGAGAGTTTTTCCAAACTGCTGCAAATCTCCAAAAAATGTTTTTAATACATTTATTTTTTTTAATCTGCATGTGACCCATACAGTCAAACCCATGTTGCATTTGCATTGCCCTATTTTACATTTACCTTGCATTTGCCTACCTTCCTTTATTCTGTCATGTTGGGTGTTAGCCATGACAACCACAAATTGATTAGTGTCAAATCACTAGGCACATTATATATCCCAACTATTTCCAATCACTTTGAAATTGCTACATACTGAGATCATTCATCTGATTTTAGAGCATTACCTACAAATTTTGGATTTCTTTTTAACTCCAATGAAATTCAATCTAATTTTAAGTGCTTTAGGTACATCTTTATAATTAATGACTCCTCAAAAGTGAAATGAAAATAGCTAATCATTGGGTAGGATCATATCTCATTAAAGAATTGCAAGGAACCATGCATAGGTAGGTCACTATTAGTCTGTTAGTATTCAATAATATCTTATTTATAAATGGTATGTTTGGAGAAACTGAAGAAGAAAAATTATAAATAAGCCAATGGTGTTAAAATGATTTAACTATATTTGAAAACTATAAAAATTCTGTAATAATCTTCATGGTAATTTAGAACCTACTAGTTTGCAAAGTCAGAGTTAAGGATCATTAAAGCCAGTGTGAAATCACTTAATGGAAACATATAATGTAACCATTTTATGTCAATTTAGAATTAGGTTGGCAGGCACCAATCAAGAAGCTTTACTAAAGTGATAGCACAGTTACTACTATGTATTGATCAGATAGGACTGATATGATAGTTAAGATAATCAGCCTGAAGAGATACATTCTTTACATAGGCTTGCAGATTTCTAATTACTGCCTTTTTTCTAGGTACCAACTGCAGACATTGAGAAATCACAATCTTGTTACAAAACTAAGATCTCTTATCTAAGTTACTCATTCAACAATTATTAATTAGACACCAACTATGGTCAGATACTGTTTTAAGTACTGGGAATATATAAATGAGCAAGACCTTCTTTAATGGATATTACATATAAGTGGAAGAACTAACAACAAAAAAAAAACCCATGCACACAATCTGACAAATGATAGTGAGAAGCCAATATTGGGTCTAATGAACCATGACGTAAAATGAACCTAACACACTATAATGCAGGTGTTATCACTGTCAATCCAAATCAAAATGAAACAGGCTTTTTCCTTCCTTCTGTTCATCCCTTTCTCTTTTATATAATTAATTTCCAGGAACCCCCAACAATGGAAGAATTTCAAAGTTTCTTCAAGATATATTTGCTGAAAGACAGAACATGTTTCCTCTCAGAAACTATGTTATTTCCCAGACCAATTCAAAATTGTATTAGGGCCATTTTAGATGTGAAATACTATGGAATGTTTATGTGCAACCATGTTCCTGTGGAGAACTCTAACTTGAAACACCACGTTAAAGTCCCCCTGGTAATGAAATGAGAAATCCCTGATTTCTTCTTTACCTACTAGAACAGGAGTTTGCAAACTTTCTGAAAAGGTACAGACAGTAGTTAGACTTTGCAGGCCATAAGGTCTCTGTTGCAACTACTCAACTCTGCTGTTACACTAAGAAATCAACTGTAGAAAGAAAAGAAAGTGGCTCTGTTTCAATAAAATGGGCTTGGCTCAAGACCTAGTTTGCCAACTTTTAGGTTAGATAGTCTGAACGTAATGGAGGAAGAGTAGTGAGCAAGCTGATCTCAATGCAGTTTTTATTGGGGTTAGGAGGGGAGGAAGCAGAAAATGTGAAAGGTTTTACCTCTTTTTATTTCTTCCTAATCTCACTTAATGTTTCCAATTTAGCTTCTCCAAAACTGTCTACTGACAATAGTTGTGTGTGAGAAGTATGATGCACAAATGAGATAATCTACTAGGATAGTCTCAGAATCCTTGAAGTTTAAGAAGTTCACAGTTGCACAAGGGAAAAAGAAAAAAATTGTGGCTAGCCAACCATTCAAATGTAAGGAAGCAAAAGACAAAAGAACTACTAGAATTACAGTGGCTCTTTTCCTCTTATCATGTAACTTGTAAGTCCTCTAAGTGTTCCTGATGAATCTCTCTGGAGATAATGATATAACTGTAGTCAACTCTAAATATCCGGCAATTTAGTATTATATAAATACATACACATATACATAAAGATGCATACGTGCACACAGAAATCCAAAACTACAGTGAATAGCCTTCTACCTAGAAAACTAGACACATACACACACACACACACACACACACACACACACACACACACACACACACACNTGGTAGGCAAATGATAAAACAGACTATTATCTACATATTTTATGCAGTCATGACATATCTTCTTCTTAATTTTTTCAGTATTTCTATCTACCAACTCCTGTGCTAGTCAAAACTTAGACTAGAAAGTGTTTCATCTGCAAGTTTTTTCAAATTGTCATATCTTCAAAAAATTTTCCAATATATTTATTGGAAAAAAATCCACATATAAGTGGACCTGCAGTTAAAACCTGCATTGTTCAAGGGTCAACTGTATATGTGTGAGTAAACATGCATTTATTTTAAAATATTTTCAATATACTATTTTGTAACATGCTGCACTAAACTGTATTAATATCTCTACCTATCAATAAATATACAATATACAGTTGATTTTTAAATAAATTTAGGTTCAAGAATATTTTTCCTTACACTGATGCACTCGAGCAATTGTAACAAATAATAACCTTCTTTTAATCATTAGTATGTAATATTTTAAATATAAATACTGTTGTAGAGGCAGGCAAAGAAAACCTATTAATTATTACTGCAAGTCAATCAGTTCAATTACAATCTTCTTAAATGTTAGGTTCATCGTATTGAACACTGAACATTTTCATAGGGCTGTTTTAGAAGAATGATGGACATGAAGCACTTCTTGAAAGGTCATTTTGATAGAGGCAAGGACTACTTGGACAGCAATATAGCTCTAGGGT